TGTTAGGCTGTGAGAACATATCGTAAATAAGATTGGAGATGAGAGCCTTGTTTTGTGATTCAAATCTTAGAATTCCCTAACTACCATTCCTCAAAGGCTGACAAAGTTCACTCCATTTGGCTAGGCTCACCCCACGGTGGTCATCAGAGTAGCCCCAAATAAATTTCCTTATGATTTTGTTGATTTCATTGCAATAAGAAGCAGGAAGCAAATACTTTGCATAGCATATAAAGAACGGACTTAGCCAAAGTGATACGACCAGCGAGAGAGAGGGATCAACTTTTCCATCCAGCAAGCTTAGAATGAATTCTTTCAAGAATACATTTATAAGTGCTTGAAGAAACTCTCCAATAATCAAAGGTACACCTAGATACTTGCCAAGTGATTCAGTTTGATTATAGCCTAGTTCGGTACAAATAGGCCTTCTAATGCTTGAATGAACATTGTTAGAGAAATATATTTTAGTCTTGGATTGACTAATCTTATGCCCAGAAGACTTACAAAAATCTTGTAGAATTCGTTTAATCAACCAATTGAGTAGATGTGGTGTGACAAAAAATGATTAAGTCATCGGCAAAGAATAAGTGTGAAAGAGGTACACCATTACGCCCTATTTTGATAGTTTTCCATACCCCTTTGTTCACTTCAGTTGTGATACCTTGTGAAAGACGTTCCATGCAAAGTACAAAGATATATGGTGACAAAGGATCACCTTGTCTAATTCCCCTCATAGGAACAAAAGGGGTTGAAGGTTTACTATTCCACAAGACCTGCATAGTAGGAGATGTGATACAATTCATAATTAGCCTAACCATAGCATTAAGCAAACTAACATCCTGTAGTGTGTCCTTAATGAAATCCCATCTTAATCTGTCAAAAGCTTTTTCAAGATCTATTTTTATGGCCATCCATCCTTCTTTATCTTGCTTTTTTCTCATAGAGTGAATAGTTTCTTGAGCTATAATGATATTATCAATAATGCTTCACTGTTGAATGAAACTGGATTGGTAGGGGCTTATAAGATTTGGCAAGAGCACCCTTAGTCTATTCGCAATAACCTTGGTCACTATTTTATAAGCAACAGGGCATAAACTAATAGGTCGAAATTCACTGATATAACCGGGCTTGTTAATTTTAGGAATCAAAGCAATAAGAGTACGATTCAAGAAAGGGTCTAGAGGATGACCCATCCAAAGTTGTTGCACAAGAGAGAAGAGATTAGGACCCACTATATTCCACTGGCTTTGATAGAAAAGGGCGTGCAACCCATCAATTCCAAGAGATTTGAGTGGCTTTATTTCAAACAAGGCTTGCTTTACCTCTTCAATCATAACTACTCTATCCAAAGTAATAAAGTCAGAAGGGGAGATTGGGGGAAACGCACCTCGGATAGCAAGAGGATGAAATTGATTGTCATAAATGGCATACAATTGGATGAAGAAATCCCGAGCCATACTAGAAAGCTGTTTCCCATTATCAATCTATTCCCCTTGATTAGATTTCAATCTGGAAATATGATTTCGACACTTCCGTATCAATGCTTTGGTATGGTAGAAGGAAGTATTTCGATCCCCCAAAGATAGCCATTCTGAGGATGATTTTTGAAGCCGTAAGAGTGCCTCTTGAAAGCAAATGTCCTCATATTTTGCCCTTAAAGTTTAATCCAGCTCAATAAGAAAATCAGAGAAGGGGTGATTCAAGGTGCTGTTGAACTCCTCAGAGGCGAGAGAGGAGGTGTTTCTTTCGAATCCTAGTTCCCTTAAAAGTTCATGAATTCCAAGTTTGGGCTGCTCGAGAGAAAGTCTTGATATTAGTTATGAGGTCTTGGTTGGATGCCCAACTTTTCTTGATCATATTAGGAAAATCTGGGTGAGTCGACCTTGAGGCAAAAAATTTGAACCGCTTATTTGGTGGATTATATCTACTAGTGAAGCCCAATTTAATCATAATGGGCTTATGGTCAAACAAATTTTTGGCAAATGGTCCACTTTACTATCACCAAATAAATTAAGCCATGATAGATTTCATATTGCATGATCAAGACGCACAAGAAGGGTACCACGCCTCCAAGTGAAATTTGGCCCAATAAAGCCCAAATCAAGAAGACTATGATAATCCATAAAAGCTTTGAATAAACTACAGCCATGATTCTATCAAAACCCCCCTTCCTTTCCTCACAGTGAATAGTAGCGTTGAAATCCCCAACTAAAAGCCATGGAGTATTAGAACTCGGTGCCAAGTCAGTGAGATCACTCCATAAATATTTTCTAAGGTTAGCTTGAGGACTACTATAAATAGCTGCGAACAAAAATCGAACATTCTCTACAAGATAAAGGACCTCCATGTGAACAAATTGAAGGTGATTAGAAATAACTTTCACTTTCACTTTACTTGACCAAAAAATCCATATGCCTCTAGAGAATCCTCTAGCTTCAATACAGTGAGTATGTTGAAATCCTACCTTCTTGATGACTCTATTAGCTTTGATGCCTGAAATACGTGGTTCCATTATCATAAAAATTTCAAGCTTATAAATAGCAACCAAAAATTTAAAAATGGAAGGGAACCTCTTGTCGAAGGCACCTCAACAATTCCAAGTAATGATAAACATAAATAAAATTAATTCATAGGGATAGAGTTAAATTCAACTCCCTTTACGAGCATTGCAACGTCTTCTTGGTTCAAAACTTCTTTCTGCTCCTCAACTAAGCCTCTACATGTTCGTTGGGTTTGGCTCCAAGATTATAAATATGCAGCCTAGTCCCTAACTTGAGGCCCTTGTGTGCAGATTTTGGGTTAGGGGGTTTTAGTGAGGTTGAATGGGCTTGGTTGTAGGGATTCTGGCCCAAAATAGTTGGGGTATCTTGGGTACGTAATGGGACTCGGTTATCATTAATAATGACTATCGAGTTGTGCTCGTTATCCAAAGTGGTGTGTACTTGTAGAGATTTGTAATGTGGAGAATTGAAGATGCATTCCTTACTAGGGACCACTAGTGATTCTCTTTTTGTCTGCTAGTGGAATTTGCCTTTTTGGGAATTTTTGGCTCCTTACCTTTACGTCTGGTTGTAGTGGCGTCTCCATTGGGGTATTGTTTGACAGTGTCGTACACCTCATGGCATCCTCCTTCTAAAATCCTTGCCTCATTGAGGGCATCAAATCGTGTTGGTTTGGAAATACCATAGTTACCATAGCCATCATCTTTCTTGTATTCCCTGACAGTTGGGCGCCTCCTAATACCATAGTTACCATAGCCATCATCTTTCTTGTATTCCCTGACAGTTGGGCACGTTATACCTGCATCCAAGCACCAAATTGGTTTGTCTCACGCGTGTCTGGTTCTTAATTATTTTCACGCTCTGATGAAATTAGAGCTATCTCCGATGGTGCTGTCGAGTGAGCCTCAGTTGCTATTTTTTCTAGGCAGGAGTCCTCAAGATGTCCGAATCTCCCACAGTGGAAACAAATTGTTGAGAGACCTTCGTATTCAACATAAATGGTCTCTCCATCAACTTGGATTTTGGAAGTGAGAGGTTTAGTAAAGTCAATAATAACTACTAATCTCGCCAACTTACCCCTATCACCTGTTTCAATATTATAGTCCACTCGGATGACCTCTCCAAAAATGCTGCCAATAGAACGGATAACATTCTTATCGTAGTATCTTGCCGACAAACGAGGCAACCTGACCCAGGTGACAACCTAATTAATAACATGCTTGTGAGGCTTAAATGAAGGGGCCCAAGGTTGAACGGTCAGATAGTGCCCGAAGACTACCCACGGTCCATTAATAAGAGCATTTTGGTAGTCCAGATCATCTTTGAATTTTACCAAGAAACAATCATCACCCAAGTCAGTGAGTTGGAATTTTTCGGTTGGCTTCCATAGAATCTGTAACTGCGTTCGTAGTTGTTGATAGCTTATGGAATGGCCAAGAAGCTTTACTACCACGGCAAATCCCATTCTTTTGTTCAGGGCGTCAAGAACATGAGTTGCGAAGTTGATGGTAGGAATTTTACCAATCATTCCTATTGTGACATCACCTTATTGGAGAATCACTTCATCTTCTTCCTCATTAAAACTCTTAGCGGCATCAAGAAGGGTGTCTTTGAGGAGGCAGTTTGCTTATCAACATTCATTCGAGTGACTTCCACAAGGGTAGGAGGAGATGTGACCACCTGAGTTTCAGGAACAAGCTCTGGTGAGAAAGTAGCAGATACGTGCGTTTCCGAAGAAAGAAAAGAAGAGGAGTAATCTTCATCCATCGATTCGTTGATCTCTTGATCATCTCTTATTTTAACTTTCTTAGTGCTGCGATCATGTCCAGGATGTGGTAGAGGGTCGTCCTTAGGAGAGCTTTCGAAGGTGGTGGAGAGAAGACGAATGCTTCTTAATTTGAAGAGAAAAGCACATTCTAAGGTTATTTTCAAAGAAAAATCTGGTATATGGAGGACATGAAGCAGAAAGACTTGACCACTGAGACTAGCCAACAAATGGTGAGATTACAGTTCAGTTATTAAGAAACATTTATATTTCCTAAGTTTTATGGCCACCTTCATTGCTTTGCTAATGTGTAATTTCTGATTTCCTTCTGAATCTAAATTGATATATAGATGGAAGAGGATGAGATCAGGATAAATATAAAAGCAACGACAGAGATTAGAGAAGATGGTCTCTTTTCGCCTTTGTGTGTATCTATAGGGTGGCCCGACGATCCGTCTTCTAAAGAGGAAGCCTACACTCCTAAGATGGTTTCCATTGGTCCTTTCCATCATGACAAAGTAAGGCTGCGATATGGAGTGGCACAAAGAACTAATGTTTAAAAACATTTGCACAAAATACAAACTTGGACAGTTTGATTAACTTTGCAAAACAGTCTAACCAAAAGATTCATGCTTCTTATTTTGAAATCATCAATTGTAGCAAGAAGGATCTTGTGAAATTGATATTGGTGGATTTTGCTTTCATCATTCAACTCTTTATGATGAAAAAGACGTCACATGAAACGTGATGGTAAACTATCACAATCATGGTTAAGGCAGGATATATTTGATGATTCGCTTTTACTTGAGAATCAACTTCCGTTCTTTTTCCTTGAAGACCTGTACAATACAGTCGTTCCTCCTTCATTTCTTGAGCTTACATATTCCTACTTTCACTATCATAACATGCAAAACCTAAAGCCTAACTACAAGATAAAGCATTCCACAGGTCTTCTTAGATTATTTTATTTACCAAGAACCCAACTGGAAAGGAATTCCTTCAAAGGGGATGGATCAGATACGCTTATGTATAGTGTGAATGAGTCACAAGAGGCAGGGGTGAAGTTGGAAGTAAGCACAAACAAGTGCTTACTAGACTTGACATTTTCAAGGTCAGTTCTAGAGATTCCTCCAATACGTGTCAAAGATATGACTGAAACTTTGTTCCGCAATGTGATGGCTTTAGAACAGTGTCATTAACCATATCAATCATATTTTTGTGATTATATTTTTGTATTTGATAGCCTAGTTAAAACAAATAAAGATGCGGAGGCTCTCGCTCATGAAAACATTATCCACAACTAGCTAGGTGATGCGGAGGAGGTTGCCACATTATTTAATGGTCTTGGGCAAAATATCACTCATATCAATTTCCCTGCTGAATAACTTGACATTTCCAAAAGGTTGAATGAGGTTTATAAAGATCCTTCACACAATAGTAAGGCAAATTTTAGGAGAGATTACTTCAACATACCATGGCAAACCGTGGCTTCTATTGTAGCAATCATATTTCTCATTCTCACCATCACTCCAACTGTATGTTCCATCCTCCAAGTAGTATAAAGTAGCAACCTAGATTTGAAGGTTGGTATATTTTAGTGTTCTGTTCTTGAAAATTTATGTTCCCTTGCTGATTTTGTTTAGCCTTTGCTGCTGCACTATGTAAAAATAATTGTAATCCTTATGCTTCGTTTTCTGTATTACGTACGCACTTTTCTGTGATAGCTGCATTAGTTTGAAGCTTTGATTACATTATTTCTTCCTTTTAACTTCTTTTTCCTAACAAATAAAACACTTCTGCGTTGAAAGATTTATAAAAGATAGATATGTACATTATGTTTAAATGAATGATAGGTAGGACTTTGACTCTCGTGCGCATACTTGCCTGTGCAATTGAAAAAGTATAGTATGATACCACATTGCATGGAGTTTGATATTAGTGGTAAAATAGTGGGTTTTCTAAAAAATTTATATTACAATCTTTTGTATGTTTAGTCTGGCTTCACCCATTTTGAGATCGTGGGTTTCATGTTGAAACACATAAATTGTTGCTCACGACGGCCACAAGTATTTAACAGGTCATCCGCATTAGAAGAAGAATTTTTCTACTGTTCCAATATAATCTTTCTTTTCATTTTATCCTCTTTGACAAGCTTCTGAAAATTTCATGTTAGAGAATATTTCCAAATAAATGCAACGAATGATGAGTAAATTAATAAAACTGATAATAAAATAAGTCATATTTATATATTAATTCTAAGACACTTTTGATATTAAGCAACAGGTAAGGGCTTATGGATATTCTCTCCCAAACTATTATATATAAGCCAAATAACACTTATGTACCTCACAATTTTAAATATTTACTCAGTGCCTTGACCCCAAATAGACGGATTAAAACCTAAATATTTTATGACATAAAAACACTCCTTTAAGGCTCATTCCTGTGGTGCATTCCCTTGAGATTTTATCATATATATTTATTGAGTTTAATTGCATTTATTATAATTAATCTGGGTGAAAAGGGATTAAATGAAATCAGGGTAAAAAAGAGAGAGCATAATTATCCTTTTTTTATGATTATCCTTAAACGATTAATTTTTGAAATGAAAAATATTAATAGGTTTTAATTTGTATTGTAAGTCATTTGGAAGAAAAGAATAAATCACTGTCAAGTATGAAGATAATAAATTAAACATACTAAGATGAATCAAACAGACTTGGCTTCTGATGAGAGTGCTCAACAAATGGTGGAAAGGCAATTATCCTCCAATTACTTGCCAACAACAACACTTATGCATCCCTTCTTATATTCTTTACTCTCTCTTTGCTTACAATTTTTAAGGTTGCTTCTGTTTGATTCCTCAATTATTACACTTTCTTAGCCTTATTTTGTTTCACTTTCAAAATATGCACTTGTCAGATTGCCACTTGCAATTATGAATCCTGTGCTTTTCATTTGTGATGGCTTTTCTTAATTTCGTCACACTCCCTTTAATTTGCTTGCGCCTTGTTAGATTGCTCGTGTTCAATACCCCATTGTGCGTTCCACACGTAGCCTTTTTTACCTTTTTCTTCTTTAGCCTGATCTGGTTTTAGTTAGGCATAAACAATTTATGGGAGTGCAAATCAGTTATTATCAAGAACACAATTTACATCGCAGAAATGTTATTCTATTCCTTATTTCTTGTGCTGTTTAATTATTGGTCCACCATAAAGTTTATAAAAAGATTATTACATACATATTCTTATGCTCGTTCAGTTTTTGTAGCCATCAAATAAATCCGATCGGTGATCCATATTAGTGCGCATCATGAGCATAATAGCTAAAAAACGGATAGGATTAATTAAGGAGGTGATTCAGATATACATGCTTCTGGTCATCCTTTCTATTTTTGGTTATGTAATTAGCTTTAAAAAGCCACAACCTTCAAACTCACAAAAAAATGTATATTAATAGTTCGTTTGAATATTTATGTTTATGAGAATGAGGATTGATTCTATTGGTGATTGCTTTATCGATTAAGCCTGATAGATGGAAGATGATGTGATCATTGATGTGATACAGAAGAAGATGTTCTGTTAATACGAATGAAACGTCATAGGAAACTAAACTAAATGTATGGCTAGAGGCAATTCATATGACAAGGTGCCAATAATATAGCTTCTGTGATAGTTTCCTATTTACTACTTTTATAAGATTAAAAAAATTAGTCAAAGTTAGTTAAACATAAATTGCAATTACAAATTTGCAGTTTTGTTAACCATGAGAATTCAGTTAATAAAATCATAGTATTAAAACCCAACTCAAGTCCGCTAATTGGGCAAATAAATGGTTGCGTTAGTCCCCTTACCGGTTTGATTAAGGGTTTTGGATGATTCAATTGAGTTGAACTTTATACCTTTCTTCTCTCCTTGTTAAAGCGAAAAATGATATCGTTTTGGATTTTAAAAGATAATAGTCTCTCAGATTATTGCTTTAATAACTCCCCGTTTTATTATGTGGAATCTATAGATGTTCTAGTTGATTGTGAATTAAAGTCTTTGTATCTAAATATTTTTTTTTAGAATTATATATATGTGAATATTTTATATGTCAAACACATTATATTATTTAATCATGACAAGTCTGATGTGAGATTGTTTCGAATTTGAATATAATTAGTCATCACTGAACTACTACCTTGATTGAGTAATTTACAAAAAGATGAGGTGTTAGCATTTAGAATTTTTGTTCACTATTGTATATTCTGAAAATTTTATTTCATAGCAATTTTGCTCTAAACTGTTATCCGCTATGAAGTTTAACCATTAAAGATACCAGTCAAACTGTATAATTTATCAGCCCAACTTAATAGCTGATAACAATCAGGATATTTTTACTACGAAAATAGATTTTTAGGACATGTAAGAGCTAAAAAAATTTTCAGGTGCTAGATATTCATTTTGTGAATACTTCCAGGGTATTTAAACATCTTATCCCATTGACAAATTACGCCATTCACTATTATTAATATAATTTATATAAGATTTATAAGCAACTTATATTAGAATATATAATTTCACATCAAAGTGACACATTTAGGGGGAAAAAGAAAGAATTAGATAGCTATCATGGTTTTTTTAAGGGTTCAGTTATTTCGAATTAATTATTCTTTTAAGGTTGAAACTAGCTTCATCTCTCTCATGCATCCCGATTTTGTTTTTATGCTCATCTTGACTTGACTCACGTATATTTATAAAGAATAAATGTTTTATGAGTTAGTCATATCAGGCCAAACAAAATTAGCTTAAAGTATGGATTAATTAATTGAATGAAACATAATATGAACTGGTCGACTAATAACTGTAGAAGAAGACGCAGTTCAGATTAAATGGCGACAGTTTGCTTCTGTGTAATTAAAAAAGAATCAATAATATTTTTCTTGTTTTCCAAACAAAAGTATATTAAAGGTAAACCAATTTATTTATTATTGTCCCCATATTGTTAGACTTAGCCAATTATATTCTGTAAGTGTTTTAGAAAATCATGTCCACATCCTAATTGCCCTATTATAATTAACCTATTAATCAAGATCCAAAGTCACAAGATGTGGCCAGTTAAAAGTGAATTTAGTCTAATACTACCTCCGGTCGTTATTAAGCTAGTTATTTGTAATAAATAAATATTATTTTTTTTAAATACTCTTACTAATTATGTGTATTAGTTAGAACTACTATTTGATAAAACCTTTAATATGTGCATCTATTACAAGGATTATTTTGAGAAAAATGGATAACTATGGGATGCAAAGTGGATTAGGATTTATATTTAGGGCTAAATTAAAAGTCAAACTAGCTCTTGTATTAAGGAGTGGAGGTAGTATAATTTAGCCTAACAAACTACTTTGCCACAAAATAACATATATATATATATATATATATATATCTTATCAATATATAACACATAATTTTACTCTGGAAACCAGAATTCATCTTGTCCTCAGCGTAATGAAAAACAAATAAAACAAGTACATGAGAAGCAATAACAAATAAACAAAGAGTGGATGATCAAAACTCAAACTGTTTGATATGAAACGGACTAAATTATTTATTACATCAATATATTAACACACACACCCACACCCACAATATCAAAGTAGACGTGAGTCTCTTATGTTTCATATGGTCTGAAATGAGTTGTAATTAACATTGCAGCTTATAAATAGTATCACTTTTGGTCCTTAATGTAAGAACTAGTTTGACATTTAATATAGTATTAAATATAAGACTATAATTTATTTTGTCTATCATGTTTATTCATTTTTTTAAAGTAGTCCTTAAAATTTGCACATGTTAAAGATTTTATAAAATGATAGTTCTAGCTAATACACATGTTAACAAAAATATTTTAGAAAAGATAGCACATATTTATTACAAATAACTAACTTAACTAATTTTCTTAATCTGTTCAAATCAGTCAACTAATTTTTATATTAAGGACCGGAAGTAGTATATCTCTGTATAGGTTTTACTGATATTAAGTATAGCAAGCTGCATTATTAAAAAAATCACTATTCACAACATATAAATAATGTTCATCAGCTAGCATGCACCATAAATATATAGGTTGTAATAAATAATAGAATGAGCATCGTATTGTTTCCAAACCTAATTGACTACTATAAAATTTACATTTTAACGCAATTGGAGGGGGGAAAAAAATCAATTTCAGTGACTCATCGTAATAATAAGTGTCATGGTGCTTATTATTATAGTGACATCTGCACTATTCAAATATATTTTTTAACCATTTAATTTGAAGTTTTTGAATGATTTTTAAATAAAAACATTTTATAAAAAATGACATTTAAAAGATAATTTTTATTTTAAATTATGTACACACTAAAATAGCAAACTAGTAAAAATAAAAAAAATTACATCATATCCGGATTGTCCAATTTGAATCTGAACAGTTCAGATTTGGTGCTCATTACTTGGGTGTGATTAGCCCAAACTCAATGCAGCAACAAAAATAACCATAATGAAAACAAATATAAATCCTACGGCATTAAGATTAGATGTCAGTGATTACAGGTTATGGAAACAATGTTGAATATATTATAAAAAACATTCTTTAATATCACATGAATCACCCACTATGACTGATTATAATGGTATGTGGTGCAAGTCTAAGATAAAATTTTAGACTATAGGAACTCTAGATCAAATAAATGCCTAATTAAAGTAATAAATTACACGCCTTCATTTTAACTATTTGAGGCCCGAAACCTTACCTCTACGACTCTAGCTATATGCCCATTAACAAAATCATTCACCCAACATTAAAAGTGTCACGTTTCATCACCCTCCATTTGAAGATTGATTCCGAATTTCCTATTTCTTTAGTGCTTGTTTCTCTTTCAACTATTAATGCTATGCGTGTTTATTAATGGATTAATTGCGCGCTTGGTTTATTGGCCACCAATTAGAGGTGATTATTGTTCTCTAATTAAGCAAGAGACATGGATATTTTCTTTGGAAATTGTAAAAGTATTCTTCCCTTCATTTCATGTCTAGGCTAGTGTTGTACTCATCTCTCGGTCCCTTATTATAACATTCGAAAAAACCATATTTCCTGTTTTAAGAAAACTATTAAAATTAGTTAAAAATAATAAATAGGTAGGAAATCTATTTTTTTTCCCTCAAATTTGTCCTTATTTATAAATGGGTAGTGTAGTAGGTGTGAGTAAGAAAAAAGATGAAAGAGAATGCCTGGAAAGAAAATAATGAGAGTATATATTAATTAAAGATAAAGTAGTTAAAAATGTATCTATTATATATACAAATCTAAAGTGCATCTTATGAAATGGGACGAAACAATTTAAGAAATTATATTTTATAATAAGGGACAGATGATATATTAGATTTTCTTAATCTAATATTCCTCTAACCCTATTTATAAATCACACTTCCAGTATGTTTAACCAGAATTAAAAAAATTAAATCTTATTAACTCTACCTTGAAATTTAATAACTTTTCAACACTGTTCATAATTAATGGATACATTTTTCAAACAAATAAAAATTAACACTGTAATAAATGACAGACAAAATAGATCATCCATGATATAAAGTGACTTACATATAGTAATAAAAATAACATTATCTTTCTGTCTTATAGGAGAAATTTTTTTTAATTCTGTTTTATAATTATTTTATTTTACTTATTGTTTTATCTTTTAAGGTGATCAAAATTTTTAACCGTTTCAAATATTTGATATTTCTAAGATATAAAATTGACTAAAATAATTGTCATCTTCAAGAGACTTCAGCTTTTTTTTTCCCCCTTCAAATAACAATTATTTACCATTTATATCACTATCTTTCCTAGCCACCTATTATCAATATAATTAATAACTGTTTGCAAAAGTCAAATTTTAAATCGTGTACGAAACATTGAATAATACAATTTGGTTTTATATTTACTATATAATTCTCTCACTTCAACACCTACGAAAACTGGACATCAAATGTGCTTCACGATAAAATTCGTTGACTGTCAATAGGAGAGGAAAAGATATTGATTCGTGACCCGTTAAATCATAACAACAAAAAAAAGGTATCACCAAAAAAAAAACATTAAACTTAAGAGTGGATTATACTAAGCACCAAACTCACGGATTATTTTTTTTTCTAATAATAGAAAGTTTAGTTGATTTAGGTCAGGGCCAGGATATATCTCCATGCTTAGAGAGCCTTCGAACTCATGACCTTGTAAGTTATAAGCCACCTGCTTATCAACTGGATCAACTCTTGTTGGCAATTCACAGATTAATTTTAAAAAGACCCTCAAACTTATCATTCACATGGTTAATGAAAATTATATGTATTTACCATTTACATAATACAGATTAGAAACTAAAAAATATTTAGCACCATTTACCATTCAGAAAACATAAACTTTTTTTTTTTCTGGTAAGGAAAAAAAGTAGTAGACTAATGGTGAGTATTTATCATTAATAGTCTTTAACAATAATTCTCCCAAAGTATTCCCATAAAATTTAAAAAAATTGATGTAATGAACTGTTACATATACTTAATATAACTTTTTCCAAAAAAATATCGTCGCAAGAATCACAGGAAAATGAATTTCTTCATTTTTTAACAAATATTATTTTGAATAATTTCCTTTGAAAAAAATTAGTTGCTTAATCCCTATAATTTTGATTCAATTAAAACTCAGTCATCACTGATCATTAAGCTTTGATTTGCCTTATAACTCAATAAACCCTATCTATGAATTTTGACTCTGTGTAACTCAATTCATATAATTTTAACATTTTAAAACATTATTCCCTGATGTCCAAGAAATGACATAGTTTTTATAGTTTATTTTATGAAATAAAGGAACTAAAAGTTTGAAAAGTCAAAATTCCAAGAACTCTATTGGTCGAGTTGAATTTTAGAAATCTAGTTTTAAATAAATCAAAATTATAGGGACTGAATTAGATCAAGTGAAAATTTCATATTAAAACAATAGATAGGCCCAAATGATTAATTTTTCAGATTTACTTTTATCACTGTTTTCTGTTATTGTGCCTAGTACAAATCACAACAACGCCTGAACGAAGCAAGTAAACCATTATAATTGATTGTGGAACGTATCTCAATAGACGTGGTTTACACTTTCTTTTTGTCTCTCTTTCACTTTTATAGGCATAAAGTGGCAGTTTTTTATTGAATCCAACCCATGCTCTTGCAAATTTCACATATTGAAGCCACTTGCTGCAGCTTCTGCAATTTTCACATGTCTTAAGTGTGCCTTCGGTAGTTTCTACTGCAATTAACTCTCATATTTCTACAAGTTCTTTTGGAGGCAAATTAAAATTTGAATGTGACCCTAAACACCAACCAACGCAATTGACTTAGCTCATTATTATATTAAGTAATCATACAAGCAAGAAATCATTAATAAACGCCACTTGCAAATCAAATAGGAAAAAGTGTTGACTTGACCAGCCTCAGCTGAGGATGCACCGCGCCTTGCGTCCTATATATTCTCGTGTTAACTTCTAAGCAGAGCAAACCAACTTTCTTGTCCTTATGAATCTGTTATTTACATGGCAGAAGCAATACATGCTGAGATGAATCAAACAAACTTGGTGTCTGATAAAAGTGCTCAACAAATGGTGGAGCTGCAACCACTTCTTTCATCTCAGCCCGCAGATTTATCCTCCAATCACTTGCAACAACCACTCGTATTTGCTACTCTTTTCTTCAGTTCTAAAGCTTTTTCTTGTTTTCTATACTTTCTCTTGGCTTACAACTTTTATGGTTACTTCTGTTTATGTAATTCCTTAATCCTTAGACTTTTCTTAATTTTGTTACATTCTTTTTCATTTGCTCCCACCTCATTGGAGCCTCTTTTTTTAATCCTTTTCTTATTCTTAACAAATATGATGAGATTACAGTTCAGTTATTAAGAAAAGAAACATTTGTATTGTCCAAGCTTTATGGTCACCTTCATTGCTTTGCTAATCCGCAATTTCTGCTTTCCTTCTGAATCTAAATTGATATATAGATGGAAGATGAGGCGATCCGCATAGACATAAAAGCATTGACAGAGATTAGCGAAGATGGCCTCTTGTCGCCTTTGTGTTGTATCTACAGCGTGCCCACAACGATTCGTCTTCTAAATGAGCGAGCTTACACTCCTCAGGTTGTTTCCATTGGTCCTTTCCATCACGGTGATATGAGGCTGCAAGAAATGGAGAGGCAGAAAAAAATAATGTTTAAAAGATTTGTCCAAAGAGCTATGATAGACTCAGACAGTTTGGTTAATTTAGCAATACAGTCTGAACCAAAGATTCGTGCTTCTTATTTTGAGAGCATCAACTATGACAAGAAGGATCTTGTGAAACTGATATTAGTTGATTCTGCTTTCATCATTCAACTCTTTATTACGGACTAAGAAGCTCACCCAGAAGACGATGCTAAAGTCTCAAAATCATGGTTGGAGGATGCTATATTAAATGATTTGGTTTTACTTGAGAATCAACTTCCATTCTTTTTCCTTGAAGAGTTATATGATATAGCCTTTCCACATAACAACAGAGGTGATCTCCCTTCATTTATTGTGCTCACATATTCGTACTTTGACAATTTTAACATGCAAAATTTAGAGCCTAATCACAAGACAAAGCATTTCACAGATCTTTTGAGATTATTTTGCTTACCGAGAGCCCAAGTAGAAAGAAAATCCTTCGCAATGTATGGATCTGATACGCTTATGTATAGCGCAAATGAGTTACATGAGGCAGGAGTGAAGTTGATGGCAAGCACAAGCAAGTACTTTCTAGACTTGAAATTTTCAAGTCCTTTTCTTGAGATTCCTCCAATTTATGTTGGAGATATGACTGAAACTTTGTTCTGCAATTTGATGGCTTTAGAACAGTGTCATTATCCATTTCAACCATATTTTTGTGACTATATTTTTTTATTGGATATCTTAATCAAGACAAATAAAGATGTGGAGGTTCTTGCTCATGAAAAGATTATTAACGGCTGGCATGGTGATGCCAATGAGGTTGCTAGATTATTTAACGGTTTTGGGAAAAATATAATTCAACCCAATCTCAATGTTGAATACCTTAACATGTCCAAAGGGTTGAATGAGTTTTATGAAGATCCGTGGCACAAGAGAAAGGAAACTTTGAGGAGAGATTACTACAACACACCTTTGCAAACCATGGCTTCTATTGCTGCAATCATGCTTCTAATCCTCACCATCACTCAAAGCATATGTTCCATCCTCCAAGTAGTATAAAGGCAGCAACCTAGCTTTGAAGCTTGGTGTATTTTAGTATTCTGTCCTTGAAAATTTATGGTCCCTTGCTAATTTTATTAAGCATTTACTGCTGCCCCATGCGTAAAATAAATAACTATAATTGCAATCCTTATTCTTCGTTTTCTTTATTACGTACGCAATTTTTTGTGACAACTGCATAAGTTTGAAGCTTTGATTATATTATTTCTTTTTTTTTAACTTTATTTTTCAAACAAATAAAAACACGTCTGCGTTGTATAATTTATAACAGATAGATAAAGATTTTGTTTTGTAAAAATATGCAATGTTTAAATGACTTATAAGCAGGACTCTGACTCTCATTTGTGCACTTGTGTGTGCTATTGAATGTATAATATGATACTTCATTGCATGGAGTTTGATATTAGTCGTGCTATATGTAACACCTCATGTTTAAATCAATTAACTTTCCTTGCGGAAGCATTTGGAATCACTTTTGAAGGCTACAATTGATGAAAAATCAAGTTTGAAAATTTTCATTTACGTGTTACTATTCATTGTCACCTTAAAATGTGACAAACTTCAAAAATTCATAACTAATTGTAGAAAAATTGAAATTGAGTGATTCCAAGTTCTACAGAAAGCTCTTCGGATAAAATTTTGAGGAAAAATAGTTTCTGAACTGATTGCCTTGAAATTCGAGCTCAATTTCCTTTGAAAAAGTTACTGTTCATTTGGTTATTTTCGGATTTTATTGTATTTTTGCCTAACTTTGGAAAGGCACAACTTTCTGCTCAGTTATCAAAATCGAGCAAACTACCCCTCATTTTAAAGAGAAATATCAGATCTCCTTGCTTGCCAAATCTTATGACCTAACTCACTCGTTTGATAGGTCAAACTCACTGCTCCAGGACTTACATTTTATCCCTTAACATCTCTTTAATTCTTTTTATTTCTTTGGCATACATAACATGGCCTTAGTCTTTCCCGTTCATGCTCATACACTTTCATTCATGCCATAAATATTATAATTAAATCCATGGCATCATTGGCATCCATAACATAGTTCACAAAATAGTAGAATTATACATTTATCAACAGTCTCATCCATTAATAAGAATAATTCTCCGCTTACTTCTCCTTGCTTCTCATGCCATTATTGCCCATCATTGATTGACCTAAATGGTTGGTTAGGGAGGGGTGAGATTCGGGGAATCTCAGTAGCAAACACTACCCATAAGCATGCAAGACATAATGCACATGCATGACATGTTATAACATTAACACATGAATGCCATGGAAAGTAAGCTAAAGCATTTCATGCTTCCATAACATATTGCCAAGGCAAAACATAACATAAACTTGCAAACATAACTTTGCAAACATTTCATCATAGCTTAGTCACATCATGGCAACACAATCACATCATGCAAGCATACATATCAAGCACACAGTATAGGTAAGTTCACTACCTTATAACATGGCTTTCCCCTTGCTTTTCCTTTGATTCCCTTGTCTTTCCAACCATGTGGACATTCGGTCAACATCACCAAACATCCTCTTGGATGTTCCAAAGGTCCTAAACATAGTCACATTGATCATACAATCCATTAGGACCACTAGATTACATAAAGTTCAAGACTAGCTTTCTTGAACCTCAACCCTTTCTCTTAGTCTTAGGGTTTTCTTTCCAACTTTTCTAACATAAATCTTATTATTTCCCATCCTTAAGATCCATTTCTTGTCAATTAGGACCACTTTAGATGGCCTTAGATTCAAGAATACCAAATCTGGAAATTTTAGCTCGCGGGTACTGTTCACGCAGAATTTTCAGAATTTTTGCTCAACTTTGAAAATTCATAATTAATTCTATAAAAATCCAAATTGAGTGCTTCCAAGTCTCACTGGAAGATCCTTAAGTTAAATTTAAAGGAAAAATAGTTTCAAGAGCCAATTCTACACCGAACAGTACCGGAACTGTACGGAACTCGAAACTCTTCCAAAAGTTCAATACTGTTTTCAGATTTCAAACTCTAACTTTGAAAAATCACCATAAATCGTACACATATCCAAATGAAGTGTTCTACCTATGGATTTAAAGCTCACAGAGTGTACTTTAAGCATGCAAAATTTCAGAATCAGATACGCACAGTAACTAATCCGAAATAGGCATAAAATCAGGTGCTATAACCACCACATACCGTGTTTTAGAGTTTGATCTGGCTTGGAACCACTTGGCCTTTCTTTCTCCCTCTTCTTTTTTCAAGAGCTTCCCCATGGATTCCTTATGCTTGGACGAAATGGTAGGGAGGGGAGGGGGTATTTATAGAAAAACAGACTGAATCTGGACCGTTGATCTTAAAAATACGTGGCTCGATCTGAACCGTCCATTTTCTCTTTTGATCTTACGGCGACAAGTGTCCTATGACATCATGCTTACCTCATCATGATGACATCATGCTTACATCATCAAGCCACATGTCTTTAATCCGACCGCACACGTGTCTTGCATCCGACCGTACACGTGTCTTCCATCTAGCCGTACACGTAATATTTTCTTTTTCTCATCTAACCGTACACTTGTCACTTTCATGTCCTTTCATCATTTATGGCATTAAAATAGGGAGAAAATAAATAGAAATTCGTGCAAAAATATTTTCTTAATTATTTCTCCACCTATCAAGCCAATCTTGCACCGTATCGGATACTTTTCGGGTCCTGACTTACCCTGTACCACCAAGACATGTTCTGACACTATTTTCTCATCTTAATAAGTACATATATGGTGCCACCTTAGAGGAGTATAGATGAAAATAATTAGCTCTACTGACAGGCTACTTAACCTTACTGAGTCATACAGTAGAGATTTCGCTATAATGGGTAGACAAAAGATTGTCTAAAATATTCCCATACTGCGTTCTGATTTTTATGCTGTCCATAAATATCTTCTGGTGACTTAGCATGATGACTCGTAGGTGTCATGATTACGCTTGATGACTCAGCATGATGACTCGTCGGTGTCATGATTACGCTTGATGACTCAGCATGCTGACTCAGCATCGTCATGATGGCTCTTAGATATTTTCTTTGGTTCTGTCTCCTATTTAGGGGACAAAATTATTTAATATTTGACTGGAGCATTTTATTCAATCCAGAGCTCTGAAAATTCATCCAAAAATATCATAAAATTCCTCATATTCTAGAGAAAATTTGTGAATTTTCTCAGGTCATAACTCAACCTGTAGCCCCACTTAAAAATCATTCTTTAAAATGCCCTTTTTCGGCATAACTGGCTTTCAAGAATTCTTAAAACCATTCTGCTGGCCTTTTGGGGACGAGACTAATTTTATAATTTTCTATAGTCTCTTAACTCGTGAATCCCATTTTTTACTTACATTTCTGAGGCCTCCTGATGGCTCAAATAATTAAATCTAGCTTTATACCTCAAAACGAGCCATAAACTTATAAATTCCTTTTAAGTTACTTCAGGGGTATTTTCACCATCTCTCTTCACAAAAGAGCCTTAGAATATTATTTCCCATTTTCTGGGATTTTCTCAGAATTTTCTAAGTACTTTCCATTTTTACCCCTGATGGCTGTAACTTTCTGAATTTACGGTTTTACCCCTGCTTAGGCTCAACCTCATAAAACCATCTCTTTAAGGCTTCTAACTTAACCATTGGTCTGTATCTAGCCTCTTTTCTCTTTCTGGGCCTTTGAGACTTTACTGGAGCCTCTAACTTTGATTACCCTTTAGCCCCTTAAAACATTCACTTTGCAGTTTAGTCCCTAAAACTGCTTTAACTTTCTTTCTCATCTTTAAGACCTCTACTAAAAAGAGGTCTGGTAGCCTATCTCATTCAGGCTATTTCTAGTACTTCTAGGCTTAAAAATTGGGATGTTACACTATATATTTATGATCCATAAATAGCACAGGGTTTTCTATAAATCTTATATTGTAATTTTTGATATATTTTTGATTATTACGATTACTACACTACTAGAAAAAAGATATTCAGCGTTGCAAAATTACCGCAGTTGAGAAGAAAAAACACTATGGAAAAAAAGACGGTGGCATTTTTGTAAATAAATGATCTGACGATTGATTTTTCACAATGATTATTAAGAAAAACCGGTGAAAAACACTTTCCATGGCGATTTTCTTAATAACCGCTGTGAAAATTTTAGAATAAGCCGCTATAGGTTCAGTTTTACTCATTTTCACAGTTTCATATTAGTGCGCCGTGGTCCCTCTCTGTCCCACCACCAACGAACTACCATTACTAGCCATTTCCCCCCTTCCCACCATTTAAACTCCTCCATTTAGCTTGTAGTGTCTTGCCGCCGTCCATTACCGTTTCAACACCCATCTTCTCGCGTTTGAATCGTCTTTACTAAATCAGTATCCTCTTCTTTTATTCTTTACAATTTTTCTTAGTTTTTTGGATGTTTTGACAATAAAAATTTATTGTATTCAAATGGATTTATTAGTTTTATATTGTGGTAGTCTTGCATTGTTTATTTTGCATTTTTTATATGCTTGAGGTGTTGGTTGGTGGCATTGGATGTAAGAAAACCTCAATTCCCTATTTATTCATTGAATTAGTTTAAAATTGAATTTTTATTTTTGTTTTATTTGTTATATTTCTTCAAATTTATCCTGTGTTTAATTTGTTTATTACATTGTTAAGTTGATTTGGTTGATTGATTGATTTGTTTATTTTTTAAATGATTGGGATTTGATATAGGAAAAATTAGAATAGAGGACTTAAAGGGAATAATATTTTTACAAAACTTTACTTCTTTAAGTATATATGTGTTTTAATTTATTTTTACAAAAAGCTAAATTTTATATGCAAATCTATTTTTATTTTGTTTCTATAACTTTAAATTAGAAACAAGTGTTTGAAAAGAAATTATATTAAATTAAATTAATATTTTTATAATTTTTGTTTAACTATTTTACAAAACTTATATATGTTTGTTTGATTTTATATTTTTATCAACATTTTTGCTCATTC